TCATTGCTGGAGCACTTTGGATTGACATCACGATATGGGCCATTGATAGACTCCATCAAAAGGGGCACATTCACACATTCCATCTTGCGCTCGGGGTGGGCGTGGGTGCTGATCCTCGGGTCAGGAAATGGTTTGCCAGACGTGGTGTCTGGATGCTGCTCCGTGAGAAGGGAGAAGTTCTTGTTTGGCGCAGCCTGATTCGTCGAGTGTATACAACCCCCATCTCCAGTCTGAGTGGTATTTTCCTGATAGTTTTTATACAGGGCTCTTTTTCAGCGAGAACAAAACCCATCCGCGTTTGTTGCTGGCAGCAAGGGGCCACCGCCAACCCTTCAACTTCTTGCCATCCAATCGGCTCTTCAATTTTCATCGCACGACGTGTCATATACATTGAACGATGCAGAGAGTTTATGCTGCAGCCTTCTAGACCAGGTATGAACAACTGAGTGCCTGCACCGACTTGGCTCTGCTCAATCCTTGTTGATAGGGCTATGTGAAAGGATATATATTGCATTCGCGACAACTTCTGGCCCTTCAGAAGGCCGAGAATCTAGGGTTCCCCCCTCCTTGCACGATCGTTGTGGATTCAGGGCTACTTGATGGAGCTGTAGATTACACCAATGACTGAATTAATTGGGGTGGTCGTTTATCTGATTGGTCATATCATCCATTTCGGTGTCTGAAACCTGGGGTGATGGTGCTGGAGTGTTGTCCCGAGTGACCATTGCGCTGCTCACATCTCCACGCTGCGATACCGCAATATCGGGGGCTTGGTCCCACGATGACAAGTGCTTCGTATTGAAAATAGCCGGTTTTTCCTCCGCATTCGCACTCTCCGTTGTGAGTTCTGGTGTCCATGAGGACAGACTATCAATTCCTTCCAGGTCTCCGCTAGCCCAAAACTCTTCTTCTGGCATTCTCGGCACGTCCCACCAAACGTTCTGATTCCGCCCATATAATCGTGATCTGAGCGCGGCATTATCATCCTTCACAGTTCTCTGCAGAGGCTGGTAAAATCCCTATGGACCAACCGGAAGTTGCCTGCAACCCACCAGATGATGGTCGGACCAATATGGCGCAACTGGTCCCTCAGAGTCGGGAAACGGTGCAGGCACTGGGTCATCTCTACTGTAGATGAGCATATATGGCCCTGAGTTGAGATAGAGCCCCGCCTTGTCTCCGATGACAGTGTCTTCCGTGACCTTACGGCTATACATCAGCTCTGGTAGCAGGGCATGACGTTCGGGCACGCACCATAGTTACTTCGTCCCAGACACTCTTGTACCAGTTACCATTAGTGAATAGGTAAGCGTACATGTTCTTGGGTCCGTAGAGACCATCATGCATCAAGACAGCTCTTAACTTATACTGTGGATGGAGATGATTAGTTATGTCGAAAATGGTGGCAGGCAGTATGACGTACTGGGTGTCTGGCAGGTTCTGAAGCAAAGCTGATTGCCAGTGCTTCGTACTCTGCAGAATTGACCCCGATTTTAGATTTGGTAGCTGAAGCCTAGTAAGCGAATTATAACCTGAGTCCCGCAACACAAGACACACAGTTGATATGCCGTTCGATCTTGGCAATAAGTGTGCTAAGTTTCCTAGCTGCCACCTGATGAGCCTCCTTTCGTTCTGGTGTATCCGCCGACGCCACCTCCTGAATGTAGCGCAAGGTGTTCCGGAGTGGAGGAAGCGTTTCCTTTCCCTTTACGTAATTGGGCAGATGCATCGCGGTGGATCTTCCATGGAGATAACACTCACGTTTCGAGTTTCCAAAGTCCGCAGCTGTTCCCTGAGATCTTCGCCTGCCATTTTGAGTTCCTTCATTTGATTGACAGAAGCCATTGTCTTTGCACTATTTTCTTCTAAGTACCGATCTAATTGCAACAATGTAGGGAAGGAGAAAGGAATTTTGGGAGCTGTTGAGGAGTTCACGTTCTTCAATTTTTCCGATGCGGCAGACAGTGTCATTTCTGTCGTAGTGAATGGTGTCTTAACAGTAGGTGCACTGCCATGCGCAAGGTTGACATCTTTGTGCTCGCGGGGATCGTGATGAAGTCGCATGACAAGCACTGGAGGAGGGGACCATTTGGGACTTATGAACCCCCTTCCAGAAGACTTACTGCCGGAGACTTGGCCTCGAAAATCGGGGTTCAAGGAAGAATTTAATTAAGGGTTTGATTGCTTACCGTCACCAGAACTCAAGCCGAAGAAGTATTGATCCAAACATGCATAGACGGAATTCAGGTCTGGCTGGCGAACTGTGAGGGACAAGTAGGAGTGAGATGACGATGTCAGGGGAGATGTGGATCGTGATTCAAGGTTTAAGGTGAATAAACTATGTGCCAATAGGTTGGTGTGGATCCCCGGAAATTAAGAGCATCAAGAGTCATGCGTACCGATCATACGGAATGTTTTGAGCGGCGCACCACAACTCCAGAGCATTGTCAATCACCTGGCTCATTGGGGTGAAGAGTTCTAGGAACGGAACAGGACATTAGTCCGAGAAGAACATCGACCCAGTGAAGAGCATTGTCACCTAGACTTTGAGTACCAGGTGGTTTAGGATGGGAAGATTCTTCTGCACCGAATATGTGCAGGAAGTGGGTGATATCAAGATGCGCCTGTTGAGTGTAGTCAAGAGCACAAAACAATTGCTGAATTTCTCTGAAGTCTTGGGTCCAGTCAAGCGCATGTAATCCATTCAAGATGATGCCTCGTACTGTAGAAAGATTGAAGTGCCGAGTCACCCCATAATTTACCGTCGTTTAGCAGTCCCATGGGCCCTCGTGCAGTCCGTCCGGCATAATGTTGAGAGAAGAGGGATCCCACTTCCCTGACTGACGGAGACTGCGCCTCACTTGAGGTATGACGTACAGGGCTTGTATCAGTAGCGGAAGAGCATTATGCGTAGAATACCGGGCAGATCCTCGAATCAACGCAACTGGAGGTACCAAAGGATTGTCCGAAAGGGGAATGTCGAGCTTGATGTCGTGACAGCTAAATATCAAGCCGAGTGAAGAGCGAAGCTCGGTTACTCCGGTAACACATTAGGTGAGACTCTCAGACCTTTCCTTCGTAATTCTGGTCCGTTCGGTAACATCAGCACACTCACCGAAACTAGTTTGCAGGGACGCTGCCATGGCACGTTGTAGATCAGCATCATCTGGAGAAGGACGTTTGTTGTCATTTAAGGAGCTCGGCACAACAGCCCAAGAACCGTCCGTGTCCTCTCTAGTTGAGGGTCCGAACTTCGCCGTCTGCGCCTGGCTTGACGGCACTCCCCACTCTTTATGCTTGTGTTCGATTGAATCAGACATGGAAAGTGACAGGGCCTTCTTCAGTTCTTCATCCTCTTCGTCCTCCCCAGTAAGATCAACGACAACTAGGATGTATGTGCTGCGTGAACTTCGATGGGTTAAATCTTGCATTAACTTGAATGTTCTTACTAGAAGGTGGCGGCGCTACACTTTTGCTAGTCTGGGACTTACTGGAATCCGAGACGAGTGGTTCTAAAGCTGGCATATCGTTGACCTATGATATATGGCAGTACACGAGTATAAGAACGGTCGAGTTTGACGCGAGTCGTTGTTTGCAACTCGGTCTAGCTACGCGGCACGCACATCCTCAGACTCCGTCATAAGTGCTGATGCAGCTCGGTCCAAATCCCCATTATACTGCCTAAGGGCATCTGTCCATGACAAGTAGGGTGGACACCACGTACAGGAGGTCAGAAAGACGACTTACTTCGTATCGCCGCCTCACTGTGGCTGATTCCCAGTGATATGATGGTCTGGACGGCTTCATTCTCATCGTAAGCTTTCATCTTCCCTCAGAACCTTTCAGCGTCGATAGTCAAGTCAGTCAAAAGATGCTTAATCTAGCGAAAACTGAAGTTGCAAGTCTCGTTTTAACGACTCGATATCCCCACGTGACAATAGGACAAAATATTCAATATTGCTCCATTCAACAGTGTCAACCGTGAACACTTGCATGATGGGAGGTGGACAGGAAGCGATCTTTCACATTCTTCAGGCGGGAGAAAGGATTCTCACCATTCCACAGCTCAATTTTCGACCCATCGGATGAAGTTCGAGAGGTCAGGAGGGGTAATCCGTACTGTTCAATCGTGTAGCTTGCCGACACCGTTGCATAGAAGGAGGCTAAAGAAAACTGCCATTATTGATAGAAGGTGACTAATGAAGCTTCGGCCCTCACCTTCCAAAAGATCCCCATTGCAGAAAGAGAGTCCGGCAGCGAGACCACCAAGAAACGCGTTACCAGCCCCAGTAACGTCGTTGATGCGCTGGCCATCCTCGGCACCAAAATATGCCTCTACCCAATGCCCAGATTGACCATGCCCAGGAATAACATACGCCCCTAATGCGCCACTGCGGACGATAACCGCCTTTGCCCCCAAACCAAGAAGCGCTTGTGCGGCCTGTTCAATGGTTTCCCGTCGAGGCAGTTGGTGCATTGACAGAATGCTGAGGGCTTCCTCTGCGTTGGGACTTGTAATGCGTCTGATAAATATCAGCTCACAAGCCGAAGATTCGGCGTTCACCTGAGAACATCAATACGTTCAACCACAAGTTTTAGTGCCGAGAGTTCTTCAGGGATGCATCTATCCTATGTATGTGACTCAGGAAGGAGTGGCGAAGAAGCAATCATAGCTTAATACTCACAGGTATTGGCTCGTATATAATAAATGGGAACCACGATGGCACTGCGTCTATCTCCCTCAGTATTTCGGAAGCTCTTTGAGGCGAACATATGAAATGTAGGTAAGAAGGGAACTGAAGTCCTGTAGACGTGAGGTCGTTTGGAGAAATCTGCAATCCTGGGGTTAAATACTCGAATCTTCAAGTTCATGTGCCCGGCTGAGATGAAGGGGTTAGATATAGAGGACGCAATGTACCGTCGATGGTTTCCGCAGTAAATATTTGCCGCCAGCGTAGTTCTCCGCGTGGGGTTGTCGCGAAATAACCATATATCTTCACCATAATTATCTAATTCTCGTTGCACATCGGAAGGGAAATCATGGCCTCTATCAACTATCATGCCAATCTTGGGCGGCGGCAGCCTGCAGAACACCGTTGAACACGTTGAATTTATGCAGATGTCAGATGTGATAACCAGATCCTTGCGCCGACTGCGCCTATCAGATGAGTTTAGAGTGCATCAGTGGAAGCAACCGGAAAGCTAACAATAAGTGCCCCCGCCGCCAATCTTGGTCCGTAGCATTATCAGGACTCCGACTCATTTTATTCCACTGGACGCACTTGGTTATCGGCTTGGGATTGATCTATATCATTGCCCTCATTGTCGACGTATCGAAAGATGTCGATGATAAACATTCCAAGTGTTACAAACTCCTTGTAAGAGTCTTCCATCGCAAAGATGTGATTCAGAGCTAAGCCAGATGGTTGTGGATTTCTTGCCCCGGTCAGTGTTGAGTGAGACAACAAGATTCTGAATCAGCACACAGGTTCACGTGGCAAGGTGTTGGACCCCCTGACATTTTCGGAGTCTTCCAAGGCAATTGTAAGATGTGCCTCCTCTAGTTACGCTTGGACGGATCACAATCCGTGTCCGATTTGCAAGTGCGGGTCTTCGATATGCCAGAAGAATCAAGGCAGCCCGAGTCGCTCTCTGACTCCATGCGGTACGTGTTCTGGTCTAAATCTCACCACAATTCGTCACTCATAACTACACGCAGGGAGATTAAAGGGTCAAGCATCGAGTTCAAGGGGACTCTCAGCGGACCTCTGAAACCATGGGAAGTGGAGTTCCAAAGGCAGAAGTGAGTGATAGCTCGACCCATCAAAGTTAGATAACTTAAATTTGTGGTGTCGGAACTCAGTCTTAGACGACATATCGTTCAGGCTTTGTTTAAATACCCTTCTGCGCCGCAGGCAGACAGACTCGAGAATATGTTGTGGCTGGAGACGTCGCATGCAGTCATCGTACAGTATCGCGCGTTGCTGAAAGCGATGGACGACAAGCTGGCGGAGGTTTATCAGTTTGACACTCCCCAACCAAAGAAGCGACAGTTCAAGCGTGGGGAGGATGGGCCAGTCGCGCGCCGGAAACTCATTACCCGGTTTCGATCGTTTCTGTCTGAAGAAGAAGCGTTCTGGGGTGAACTTGTGATTCGCGCAGCTACAACGTTCGATCTAACCCAAGCCTCGGGTCCCATTGCGGCGCTGTCACTGTCTCATTTGGAACCGGCTGAACTTGCGTCGAGGAAGGAGGACGTGGTGCGAGGGTCCATCTCTCGCGTCGACTCCCCCGTCTCGGAACCTATCACTACCATCACAAAGCACAAAAAATTATTATTTATTCAAAAATGTCTCATCTCCCTCGGCGACCTCTCCAGATACAGGGAACAATCCAGCGAGAGACCCAGGGCTGGAATGGAGGGGGGAGGCCCAGCACGATCGGGCGGCCGACGACGTGCAAACATTGTTTCCTTTCGATTGAGGGATTATTCACGGGCGTTTGAGTGCTATAAGCAGGCCAAACTTCTTGCTCCGAGCGAAGGCAATCCCTCAAATCAGCTCGCGATTCTCGCCCTCTATGGTGGTGATACTTTCAGTGCCTTAATGCACTACTACCGTGCTTTGTGTGCTCGGAATCCTTTCGTTACATCGCGGGAGAACTTGAAGCAATGTCTAGAAAAGGCTTTGCAGGCTTATCGAAAGGATAGGGATGATGCGGACAAGCAAAATGATTATGTGTTGGCCTTTCAGCGTGATGTGGTTGCGCTGCACGGGCTTTGGCACTTAAAACCGTCGTTTGTACTTATTACACATTCAGTCGTATCCATGACTAATGATTGATTTCTAGTAATCCAAAGGTCATCGAGCAAGGCAAATTAGTTGTGACGTCATTCTCTAAACTCCTTGAATCCCGCAGTTTGGCTCCAGATGTCGTGATACGAGTCGTGACGCTTGCCTTGGGTGCTTTGTGGATTTTTCAAGTTTTCAAACCCAGTTCTCAGGAACCTCAAGCCATTTCAACTGAACATCAGATCACCGCTCACATCACATCTCTCTTCAAAACTGTTTTCAAAATCGCATATAGGGAGTTGAAGGAGGCTTCTTCCGCGATTCTCAACACCCAATTAGCGCAGTCTATTTCTGCTACTTTACGGCGTACTCTTCCATGTCTCCATGTTATATCTCGCTGGATAAAAATCAATACGGACGTCATCCATCCATGTGGTACGAAGAACCCCCAGATGGTCTCTTCCAGCCACTGCTACTATCAGTTTCCCATTCCCTTCTGGTCGAGCTATGCCACATTTCTCAACCGCTTGCTTGGTGTATTTCCTCTCAAGTCCCTTCCCGTCGCTACTGTGCGATTTGAGGAGGATGAAGACCTTAGAGGGTTCCGCCCTTTGGAGGGGACGTCAGTGAATGATCCTACTCCATCATCACCTTGTGCTAGCCCGTCCACGGTTCATCCCAACGATGAACACCTGATGAGGATTCGAGATGTCATTTCCAGCGGCCTTGAAATTGCAAACCAAGAGGTGAGTCTGAAATTGTTCTCGCAGTGCTCCCTGACTGAAACTTGACCCAGGTTAGCGTTCTTAACTTCGTCGGCGGGAAATTTGTGGCACAAGAAGTGTCAGGTTCTCCAGACTCTACGGAAAACATTCCACTTCCTTCGGCTCTCGGAGGGGGACGAGATTTCCCTGCGTTGGATGAGGGAGACTCGGAGGACGAAATTGGAACGGTTAGCACAGAGGATCCTGTGGGATTGGCAATGAAGGCTACCTTGATGGAGGATGAGAGTGATGATGAACAAGTCCTATATCCTCGGCTCAACAGCGGAGTCCCTCCGTGAGTCCCTTGACATGACCCTAAACTAGCTTCTCTCAACTCGCTCCTAGTTCGGGCGGAACGGCTATGTGGACAGTCTCAGCTTTCCCGCCCCCACTGTCCACTGCACCTAGAAGCCCGAAAGCCGCGTCAACCACGGCGGAAGATTTGCTCAGCCGAGTCCTCAATCAGAATGTGGCACCATCTCCACTGCAGCGCGCCTCGGCCACACTCGATAGTGGGATGAACCTGGGTTCCTCTGGATATTCTGGTCTAGTCGCGTCATCTCCGCACTCACCGTCCCAAGCACCCGCCTCTTCTAGAGCCCGTTATATCGGCGGAGCACCCAGCCCTAGTCTCATTCACCGAGATGTTTCACCCGTGTCCCGTAGTCTCCTACGCTACTCGGGGTCGTTCCGGCCCCCCGCCGACGATTCCAGGCCGTTGGACCACTTTGACACACACACACGCAAGGATATAGGCGTACCTCTCTCGAGTTCCCAGTCGTTGTCTCCTGACATCTTCCTTAGCCGTTATTCTACTTCTACTAGAGAGATGCATGCATTCGGCCCTATTGGTAGTCCCCGCCTCAGGAGTAACGCTGGCCAAAGTTCACATTCATCTAGCCAAATAATGCCGAACAATCCGGCATTTGGGATGTCGCAATTCGTGAATGGACATCAGATTCATTCAAGTTTGAACTCATCTCTCCCTGCTCCAGCACCTATCTACCCGTGGACATAAGTGGTTAATCCTCAAAGTCTCTATCTGCTGCTACGCAGCTCGCAGCGCCTAGATCGCCAACACATGGGGTCTTTTGTTGTCATTTCACCCACGGCGGGCCAGCTCCATACTGTCCCAATATAGGTGTTTCGCGTAAATGCTGGAAGTGTCTTCGCAAGTGCAGCACAGTGGGGCTCATTGTTCTCGTGTAGATGAGTGGTTTAGCCACATGTACATGAACGTGAAATAAAATTTCACTCCTCCCGGAATGTTCTTAAACAAGCCGTAAATGTAACTGGCATATAACATCTAAGACGAGGATCATTTATCATTCACGGTTCATTCCCTCACGTTCAACTTGTGCGGCCAGAGCGCGTCCTGCCCTGCTTTCATTCCTCCGGCCCAGGAGATTTGAGATCCACTCCCCTGTCTGCACAAGCATGGCCAAATCGACACCTGTCTCATATCCTATGCCATGCAGGGTGTAAACGATGTCCTAGAGGCTTAACAGATCAGAAAGGAATAGAGCCCCAAAGGCAACGCTCACTTCAGTGGCGACATTGCCAGTGGCGCCGGGTGAGTATGGGCATCCTCCTAGCCCAGCAACTACCAAAGATGTCCGCAATCAGTGACATTACATTCTCATGCTGGTTTTCGGACCTGAACTGTCGATTGTGCGTATCCCTGCCTGTTGGTGACAACCTTTAGCATGGATGCGGGGGTGGCGCCAACATTCGTACCTCCAGAGCCGTCAGGGCATTCGCCACTCCGAGGCCAAATGTGTCATGATTCTGATACGGGTCATTCAATGCAGATGCGTTGCAAATTCAGAGGCGTACATGAGCCTTTGGAGCTCATTAGTTATATAAGAAAGGACCAGGCGAGTTCCGGACTGACTGCTAGCTTTTCAGGAGGAATGACGGACAGGACTGATTCTAACATCGATGTCATTGATGCCGGGGTACCGCGCCCAGTTGTGTCTCCAAGTGAGACCTCGTAACAACCCATGTCAATTAAGGCCTTTGAGATATCCCTGACAGTGCTCGGAGCGACAGGCCCTTCATAAGGACACACAATCACAGTGCTGATATAACCGCGAACCCGGATGCCCTTGTTCCGAGCCGCCTCTACAACAGGATAAAGACGATTAAGAGACTCAGCAATAGAACAGTTGATGTTGGCTTTGGAGAACGACTCCGAGGCAGCAACAAATATGGCTATCTCGTTTGTCAATGATGGGGACGTCTCAAGTAGATTCAACAGAGTGGCTAGGCCCTTTTCATTGGGCACGAGAACTGGGTAACTAACGCCTGGAAGAGCCTTAATACCAGCAAGCACATCTGAGGTGCCGGCCATCTAACACTGAATTGGATCACTGTGGCGATGGTGTTGGTGTTGGAAATAATACCTGGGGAACCCATTTGGGAGAGACGAAACTTCCGACTTCAATTGCCTTAAGCCCAGATTTGCCTAAGCGATCAATGAGGCTGATTTTTTCCCCAACAGATATCGGATGAGGTTCATTCTGCAGTCCATCTCGTGGTCCCACTTCCACAATCTTGACAAATTTGGCCGAAGGGGTCGAGGATGTACGCAGGAGGCGATGAATACTTGGACCAGGTGCACGCGAAAGGCTGCCGTGAATCCGGGAGCACATCATGAGGAGATATCGGCTAATTCCGCATTATTGTCGTAGTTGGGTCATATGACTCCAGTGCAAGAAATATCCCAACCTTCCGATCAGCCTCCGTGCGTGCTGACGGGTTCGCTCTCCACTTTGCTCGTGTCAGCCGTTTCATAGGTCCACTTGGTGTCCCCTGACGCGTCTAAACGAGAGCTAGACGCGTCGATGACAGATTCAGACCCAGAACCATCGCGCGTTCAGAGTCTGAGGACATATGGAAAGCGTCGACAGAGCCCCACTTTGAATCCTGAGACATACAGTGTTGGGCCTGATGAAGGATCTTTGGAAAATGATACTCCAGGCTTTCCAGTGGTTTCCGCAAGCGCAGACGAAGAGGCTTCCGACAGCACCAATTACCATTGGAAAGCAATGCTCACCCGGATAGATGCAGGGAAAGAGGATGGAAAGCTGCTGTTTCCTGTTTCGTCCTCTTCTGGCTTTACCAGGGCACTTACTCCCTTAACGGATGAGCACAGAACCCCCTTGCTGCCAGATTCCGTTGAGGAAACCTTGCCTGTCATACTCAAATCCGTACCTGTTCCTTTAAGTGGGCCTGACCAGGGCTCGAACATCCTCATTAATGCTTCTATCGACCTTCCTGTTGCGCCACCTACCCACAATGACCAACCTGAGCCTTCCGACGCAGAGGTAGGATCGGGCTCGAGAGAGTGCAGGGAAGGAAAGAAAAAAAATAATCCAGTAAGTTATTGTGGGGATTCTCCTCTGCTATAGGCTTACAACTGTCTAAAAGCGTCTTACGAAACAAGAGAGACTCGAAATGGAGAAAGAAACTGCTCGAGTTAAAGTGGGTGGGTGAAAGATGGCCAAATGATAAATAGTGGAATGTTCACTGATGTATCCCTTTAGCCCGACGCGTGATGATGCAGGATCCGCAGACCGAGTGGAAGCCTTTGCAACGCCCGATGACTGCCTGGGAGCTCCCTTCGAACGTTGCCGCGTCCGATCCCGATGCGATTGAGCTATTCACCTCTTCGCCTTCATCCAAGTCTGAGCAGTACTCGTCCATTGCTTCGATAGAGGGATTAGTGGTTCCTCATAGACATAATGAGCTGTCATCCGTGTATAGACGGCATGCATCTTACTGCGCTCCGCGGCAAACATCACCTACACGAAGCCCTTTCCGAAAACTCCCCGACCTAAAAACCAAGCTACTTGACGCATCAGACTCAGAATCCGACAATCCTCCTTCAGTGGAGGAGGTGATAGCACAAAGTAACCGAAAATCACTGGAAAAGAAGAACGTTCAGAACGCGCGGAAACTCAAGTTGGAGGCGATGGATAAGATCAAGGCAGCACCGAAGCCTCCAGATGACGATGACGACCTTGAAATTGAACCTGCACCTGTCCTTGCAGTGCTAACAGCCAAGGGCTCAATGCCGAACGCACTAAGGAAGTCAACGTTAAGGTCGGCGCGACAATCTCTTCTATTGCACCCGTCGAGACCCTCCACGCCGCAACCAATAAAAAGACAGGAAAACCCTTTCGCTGATCTATTTGCGATGGCCCAAAGTGAATCTACCAAGTCGCGAGCAGCCAAGGAACAGGATTGGGTGGCTCGTGGTGGCCAACTTGTGGATGCGAGGAAGTTCTCGGGACGACATATCGTACAAGTGCTGGAGCAATCTACAAGAAAACTTGATTCAGTAGACTCTCTTGCGGATGGCGACAGTGAAGATGATGCTCAAGACGAGGACTTCGTGCCCGGTGAGGCTTATCAACCTCTTGAGTTGGATGCCCCAAGTGATATCGGAGGGTCTCCTGAGGCGCGGAATATCGAGCCTTCGCGGAGCAACCAATTATCAATGTCGACATCATCGTCGCATCCATCCATAGCAACAAATACTTTTGACGACACGGACATTGATGAGGCTGCATTAATTTCGTCTTCTCTTGCCACTTCTGTGTCAGATGGGGAGGGGTCGCCTGTAATCAGCCGCAAGCGACGAATAAAGCGGACTGTTGGCAGTGACGATGAAGAGGAGACCAGAGTTGTAGACCCCCAAGTTTCTGGTAGTTCAAACCGCTCCGTGGATTCTGACGCTGAGAACCAACTTCCGAGTGCAAACGGGTCCGATGTGGAAAACGCAATCCCTCCCAAGATTGGCCGGGTTTCTTCTATGTTCTCGGAGACTGAGAAGAGAGGGCCTCTACAACCCCTCGCATCCTTCCTGTCCTTTCCGGGTTCTCCCTGTGGCTCAAGACGTGTTAGCTCAAGCATTTTCTCTTCACCCTCATCCCAACCCCGACCCCAACCCCTGGCTGAACGACCCATGCAACACGAAGAGCCAGACGATCCACAATTCGGCGAAAGTGATTTTGGCTTCGGTGGCATGTCTCAACTTTTCTTAACGCAAAAACCGAGTTCTACACAACCGGTGCGCAAGCTCGTTACACTCATCTGGGTGTCCAGCCTCACCACGTTTTAGACCGAAACGAAGTTCCGTTCCAATGATCTTGACTTGGCGACCCAGCCATCCGGCTTGCTGCCTGCACTTAATATATCGAACACACAGCGAAAGCGTAACGACGAATTGCTCATGCATCAAGAAGAGGATGATTTGGTATTAGCAAGGTCCACCCACATGCAACCACGCCCGAACGAAAACAGGTGAATGCTACGTATATGGCATTGGAATGAAGGTTTCGATTAACAAATCCAACCTAGATCCTTTGACTCACTCTCATTGTCTTGGACTCAGCTATCGCCCGAGAGGATGGAGGAACTCAGTAATACTCAAAGGCTTTTGAGTGATGGACCCGGTTCATCAGCGAATTCCAAGCTCTCCCTGTCCCCAAGCACACCCACCAAACGCGGGAAAGTAGTTCGAGGCCGCGAAAATGTATCGCCTACGCCAAGCCCCGCTTCCCCGCCGCGATCATTGTACCGATCACCCTTAGCCGGGAGTGTGAAAGCCCGTGGTCCCCCACGCGATGCCTTCCAAATGTTACTGGCTCCTAAGCCCCGTACAGTTCCTGCGGTTTCAAAGGAAGAAATCGACCGGTTTTATGAAGGGGAAGCAGAAGAGTCTGATGACGAGGCTCCCTTCGGGCTTCCAGTCACCACCCAGGATGAGGACGACGATGAGGCCGACGGTGAAGAAGTCGTTAAAGAACTTGTCGATGATCGCGAGATGAACGAAGAAACGGAAGCCAGACAGCTGGTTTACGAAAAACACCAGTACGCATGATACCTAGGGCTCGAGATTTGAGGCTGATGCTTTGGTACCTAAGGGAGCTTGAGAAAGTTGATGACGAGAAGAATTTGAAGATTGCGCAAAATGCGGTCGACGGAAAGTTTAGAGCTGGGACAAAACGTAGACGACGTGGTATTGATGGTGCAGGCAGCGATAGTGATGGCAGCGACGACGAAGTGGTCCGCCGTGCGAAGCCACCCAAGAGGAGGAATATCGCCGGTGATACTTTACCTGACTTAGGTGACGTGAACCGACAAAACTGCGGTTGAAGAGTGACGTTGACTAAGATGTTTCAATTAGCCAAGGATCCAGCCACGCTTCCATTCTTTCAGGCATATCAAAGTGGTATCTTGGCTGATGATAATGACCTCTTGCCATTGGCCGAGGAGAAACCTGAAGAAAGCGAATCAGAGGACGACGATGAGCAAGATTCGCAACAATATATCGGGACTGCGGAGCTTCAGAGGAAAATCCGAGAGAAAGAGGTGAGTAACCTATCCGCCGGGAAATTCACGAACACAGAAATTCATCTTTTGGTTGAAATACAGTGGCTTGAGAAACCCAACGCTGTCACGGACCCTGACGATATCTCCTGGCTTGTTGAGCGGGAAGATTCGCAGATATTCGATGTTGACGACGTTGTGACAGTTTCACCAGCTAAACGTCCTATCCCGGTGGTCAGCGGCGGCGATATCGACCAAGAGGTGAGTGAATAGATTGATTCTCCCAGCCCTCCGATAAAGGATATTACTAATTGCTACCTCCTCGATGACAGCTACACCTAAGGCGCCATAATGAGTCTCAACCTATTACCCCACAAGAAGAGAACGAATCAACCTGGTCTGGGCCCCAGCAATTGCAAGCTGCTTCTCGCGGACCTAGAGGTGGGCATTTTGCGCCCAAGAACCCTCGGCCGTCCACCGCTGCAGCTGTGTCGAAGAAGACGACAATTGGCCCTAATTCCACGTCACATGGACTAAGAAAGACGGAGAGCATGCTAAAGTCATCTCTTTTCAAGAAGGGCTCCGGATTTGAGTGAAGGGAGAGTAGGTTTGACTAGATGCGCTCATATCTTTAGCTAGGTTCTTTTCTAAACTTTCTATCACCTCAATTCCTATTCGTATCTTCACCTAGTTTAAAATGCATGGTTCCTCACGGTACTTGACTTTCTTGTATAATTGAATACTTGTTTTTGGGGACGTATTATTTACAACATGTGGACTATCTGGCCTGGCTATATATGGCCTGATTTCACCAGGTATTCGTGACATGACTAGTTGCGTGCCACAACTAGTTCTCTGAAGATCATGTGTTTGGTACTTGCATTCTTGTGGCGGACAACAAAATAAGCTGATAGTATATTTTCTGGGAGTTTCGACCAACGTATTTGAGCAGAACTGCGATCAATGTACGTCAGAAGTAGTAAAAGATCAAAAAGTAGGAACGAGCGAATTGAGGGAACTAGTAGTACTACGGACGATGAAATTCAAGGCACAAGAACACTCAGTTCCTTTCTACGAAAGCTATGAAAAACGAGTTGGAGTTGCATCTTCCTGTACTACTGATGGACCGGTCGCTCGATAGATATAGAGGAGAGACATATCATACCAACCGCCCTGATTAAGAGAGGCGGTAGAGGCCACTACCACCACTCAGAGTTTCAGGTGGAGCGTGAGACACGTGAGGACGAATCTCACGGTTTGCAGTAACTCGAGGTGAACCACCAACCTGTGAGAAAGAATTATGAGGCCAGAGAGGAGAAAAAAAGATGGGGTTAGGAGATGGGGTACATCACATGATGAGCAAATTTACTGGGCGGGGGGGAAGGGACACTTACGCAGCGGTGAGCTCGACCAGTAAAGTGGGAATCAAACCGCAGCAAGAGCTGACGAGGGCAAGGAGCACAACATCGATTTTAATTGCAATGGCGATGGTAACGAGTGGTCCATAGAGCGTCACGCAGGTCGCGAGGGACTGTAAGGTGGTCAGGCAGACAAATATGTCGTATCAGCACAGGACGACATTGGGGTCGGACAAAGGTAGGAAAGGGGGAAAACGGTGGAATCATCAAACCATATGGATCGAACTTACAATGATGATTTCGACGAGGATTGCGACGATTTCCGCGATGAGCTCGCCCGGTACGGAAATATTGACTGCTATGGCGGCAAGGAGCTCGATCGTGGCGGTGATAACAGCGCATATGTCGGTGACGATGGGCCAGGGATTGGCATGTCCGTCTAGTCAATGCGCATGGAAATAGTGGTTTTTTTTTTTAAAAAAAAAACAAGGCCACAGTAACGCTCGTTAGCAATGAAGAGCCCAAATGCAAACTGTCAATGCATGCTGACCAAGTTTGCCAATAAGAATCTTGAGATCGATGTGGAGCTTGGTGAGGAGTTTCAATATGTCCTTCTCATTGCAGCCTAAGGCGGCACAGGTGACGACACCACGAGGAGAGACGACTCCTGATACCAACCCGTCATCGCGAGCGACAAGATTGAATGCGGGGGCAGGGTCACTGACGGGGGCAGCTCGAACGACGGCAAAAAGGCTAGCGAAGGTAAAAAAGAGAGCAAGAAACGCGAAGACGCGATTGGAAGAGAACATTGTTTATAACTTTGTTGTAAGAGTCAGAAGGTGCAGGAAGGAGGGCCGATGGTTGTTGGTCAGCCATCGATTCTTCTCTGCCTTTTATACCTTCCTGGCGGCTCTCCAGGCGCTTGCCCACTTATCAAAGAACGCCGCGTGTCGACAAATTGAAACGGAATATATTCCCTAAACCAACAGATCACACTTGTCAGGGGTGTGGGGGTTGCGATGATCAGGTAGAAACACCACTGGAAAGCGGCGTGTCCCAAATTATTTCATGTACATGGGGTAGAGGAAAGTGACGATGAGAACGGGTCCGAATGGTCGTGATAACCGCAACTCGTGTGTTCGATATCCGCTCAGGGCGACTCAGCTCAGCAGGGTGATCTGTGGTATCTGGAACCTGAGATGATTTTCCAGAAGGTCGAGATGAAGACATTGAGCTACACATGTCTCCACAAATTAGGGACGCAGACAACCGTTAGGGATCGAACAGTCCACCAGTCACACATAGAAGGCCTCACGTGTGCCTGATGGACGAACACAGGTGACAACGGAAATGTTCGGGCAGACAGCCAAGCCGCCTAGTCCAACGATCACCATATTTTCCCGATTTGGAAAGGAAGAACATATTTGGACAAGACTGACTGACATTGCCTTCTCATAACTTCTCATTCCGATCCAACCTGATGCCATTCACTGAAGTGGAGGCGGAGACAAAGGGAGGGGTCGCTAGAGGATTATGTAACCATTTTGCCACCCAGGACTCACGCAAAAGGAGTGACCAATAACTAAAGAATCACTTTAAGCGGAAGTCATGTCATGGTGGGGAGGAAGGAAAATGGCGTCACTAGTTGTGTTCGTTCATGAGTGCATAGGGGCGGAAGGTGGGAATGGGCATGGCATGGCAATCATCCTGGGAAGAGCGCGAAGGTGGGAGGGTTGGGCAGCCCCCGTCCTCATCTAGCGCCACAAAGTCGAGCAGTCAGTGTTGGGCAACCATCTGGACGCAAGCATTATTCCCTTCAAGAAGCGATCTCTGAGCCCTTGCGGACCAGAGTGTCCCTGATCAGCTCCGTGTCTTATACAAAAATGCGATAAATGGCAGAAAGTCAACAGAGACGGTTTCGTTCTGGCAAGAGCCGCAAGAAATAATGTCATAGCCGAAAAGAACGTAATCACAGGCGCAGGGAACGGCTCATTTGTGGCGACAAACAAGAGGCGTCGCGTTGCCGCCAAGGCACGATTTGGCATGTTAACGGAGTGACATGACCGCTGAGCAGGAGTTCGTGCATTCACTACACCCTCACCCCTGACTACCTAGACAGCGAACGAAGTTGTATCGGCTCAAGCACAGGCCCCAGACCTCATGCATTCGACTTTGTAGCTGGGCGTCAATTATGTGAATGTTGGTTGTTCCCTGACTGTATCTATTGTCGTTTCCAAAATTCCTCATGGCAAACTCCGTAATTCAGAAAATCGCGTTTCAGAGTCCGTCCAATTCTTAACGATCCAAACTGCGCTGACGTAGGGAAATGTATGTTATAAATTATGTAATATTGGATAATGTCTGAAGCCAAAATTAAGCTACTTCACTGGACTCTATTTTCATTATTCCGTTTGGGACACTGTTTTAATACCAATTTACCCTATGTAACATACATCGCGCTTTCCCCAACGCAGGTTGGATCGTGGTGACTGGTTAAGAATTGATAGGCAGGTCACAAGAATTGGGTGAGCAATGGCACAAAGTCCGAAACGCGATTTTTTGAATTACGGAATTTGCCAGGAATTTGAGGTGTCACGTTTTGAACATAAATGTATTGATTCCGGATCACACGGCCATTTACCTTGACAGCAACTAAAGCCCTCCAGATCAACTTTGACCAGCTTGCGCGTTGGCTTCCTTCGATCGCCGGCTCTCACGTGGCAGGAAGTCGCGGTCTCTCCACTGTCCAGCATTGATTGGATCTGTGGAATAACAACCTTCGCGATTGCGGCTCCAGGTCGAAGTGGGTTGGGGAGTCCGCGTATACTGTCGGCGCCTCCAATTGCCCTGGGTATTCATCTCAGCTGGCCAATACTCGAGTGCGTGGCTAAGTTTGTGCGGGTCCGTCGACCGAAATGCCACGAGTGGTTTCTGACATTTCTGGCTTTTCACTGATGATGTCAACGGATAAACTTTGTTAGCGACGAAATTGCGAACACCATCTTAATGGTGCACTTGCTGTGATGGAAGCCGCCGAGCCCGCGCTTCCTCAGCCTTACCCTGCAGGGGGTTGGGCATCGCCAGCTTGTAACCGGTTGCGAGGTCGCAATATTTCCGAAATTTTGGTTGCTGGGGTGACAACTTCAAAGGAGAGTCCCCACAAACACGGATAGAAACGAATACAGACCTGGCGAAACTGCTTCTCCTTCTCAGAATGTGGTGATTACTATGATGAATTTGTACACCCTGTTCAGCATCCCCAGCCATTTTCAGTCGATCAGGATTTCCTTAAGGCTTTCTACGAGCGGCTGTACTCATAGGACAAGATGGTTGGCATCAAAGGATGGATCACTGACAACTCACTTGTATGGGCTAGTTAAGACACGCGGACAGGGTTGTACGGTTCGTTCGGCCTAAATGCCACATACTTTTCATCCAATTGGCCGAGTTTCTGGGGTGTTTGGAGGGGCTTGCAAGAAAATCCCAATGTTTTCTTATCGAGCAAGAAGCGGGGACCAGCCACACTACCGATCAAACCAACATGTACCCTTGGTAGAAGACTCGGCTCTGCTGCTAGTTCCGTTTGTTCAGTGCACTATTCCTTCTTTCCTTTCGCGATTTGGATTTTTTAGCCCTGGTATTTGTTTCCTCAACGAGAAATGTTCCGTTCGAAAAATACGGGGGTCTATCGAATGTTTGCTACACGAAACTCAAAGTAAAGTCTCGTGTAGATAGCGGCATCGATTTTTTCTGCGACAGACTTTTTCTTGCAAACTCGATGGGGAAAATTGTACGCTTTACATCTTTGGAACTGTCTCGAACCTAACCCAACCAACCCCAGTGGAAGAAAATGCCAATTGAGCCAGTGCCGTGGTTCAATGAACTACCGGTTCATGTCTCCTATGGCCTCACTCTTAGCGAGTGAGCCGAAATGGACCCGGCCGCCTGGTCCAGCATAGGGTTCTTAGCGCCCCTTTGGTTTTTGTCTCTAGCTCGTGGTTGTCACCTAAGGAAAAGGGGCAGGGCTCAAGGTTTCCGATGGAGAATCAAATTTTCTGGGAAAAACATCTTCCCGATTGAATCTACTCTGAATGGTCTCTTCCGCCGTCTAGAAGTTGTGGCCAATGGATGCAACTTGACCCGCAGGTCTATTTTTGTATCTGTGATGCATCTTAGGTATACTCTTCCCCTTTCCCTGCTTCCATGCACCACAGTGAATGCTGCATGATCAACTCGACGAACTGAAACCTTATGTGTTCCCTGTCCCAGTGATGGCGTTCTTGGATCTGGGTGAACATGACACAGCGGTTGACTATCTCGAGGTCCACCGACCTGTCAAAATCATGGGACGTCCATGAGTGATTCATCACTACCACTAGCGGTTGGTCTATGGTCGTGGTCGATAGACAACGAGGTGCTAATCTAGGCCTCGCGGCATGAAACGACATGTAGAAGCCCGTGGCTCTCGCTTTTTCCCGGTGATCCTTAAGTCGTGCGTGAACCTAAGGGTAATCGTTCCGGACCTATCAACGGGCTGCGTGGGCTTATCTTCCCTTTGTTCCATTTCCCTGCCCTTGTCTTAGGGACTATAGTAGCTCTGATCTAGCGAATGGTATTATTCGCGCAATCGAACCCCTATAGAGCATTTCCAAAATCACCTGAGATAGAGGAAGGCACGGGTGCGGATGTATTATGCGGCCAACGCGGTGCCTCCCGGCAGGTCCAGAAAATGTCGCCATTTCTGGAGGGATCTATCCCAAACGAATGGAAGTAACTTGCCCATGTAACCTCCACTTTCCCGCACGCAGTCTCCGGAGTATCAGTATGGAGACGGTTATCTATCGCATATCTTCCGCGGAACCCCGGACATGGGGCCTCAAAGATTACATCAACCAAAAAACCAAGAACTGCTTCCTGGCATCAACGTTCGTCTCTGGGTCCTTCATCCTGGCTGTGGCCCAATGGAAGGAAGTTATATCTGCGTGGCCTATTTGAGCTTCCCAGTGGAAACTTGCCTGTGTTCTGCTGGTTGGTTAGACCCGTTGTGCATGGTCCAATGATGCCAAGGCCAAGCGTGGAACATTTGGTCTCCATTGATTTAACCAACGCGATCTTGGGTCAAACTGCGTGCATCGAAATTGCACCCCCTTCCCACCCAGCGTCGAGCTTTCGGAATAAGTCAATAACACTGAGGCTTGGCGCAGTGGTCTCATGCTCAAGTGGGGGACACCTACCCCGCAAGAATCCGTGGGTTGCGGAGTTGCCTATCATCATTGGACAAAGCGAGTGGGCTCATTCATGGCTCTACCGCCTTAGGCACAGATCAAGGCCGAGTGCTTGGGGAGCTTACTCCGTACTCCGCCACATGTGGGGGGCACTCAATTACAACACCATAAGCCGGGGGTATCGCCCCATTTGGGCCAGCGTGGTACGTTTCAGGTGTAACCTTTCCTCGAGTCGTTTCAGCTACGTAACACATGCGAGGAGGCCCTGGTTGCAAGGGCGAACTTAACGAGGGGCCTGGCTCCTTCATCTATCTCTGTATAATTGGATTAATCGAAGTGACTTGAGCCTGAGCCGTTAACGCTTTAAACTTTTTTGCCCTGTACGCTTAATTATGTTGGCAACCCGCAGGCTCACTGTGGCTGCAACAGGCAATGGGGAAGAGATTAAAGACCTTCACAACTCAGGAAGCGGATGCCGCCTTTTCTCGGACGTCTGATTTAGGAAAAATATTAATTGACGAAATCCTCCCATTAGAGCGTGCTGGCAACTAGGTTCTTAATTTCAGCTACACTCCCCAGAGCCT